TCAATACAGTAATCGCCACCTATTTTGTCGATAGTTAGAATAGCATTTTATATATAAATATTTATTTTTGTCAAAAATGATAAGTTAATTAACATTTATCGTGAAAATAAATGTAGCTTACCTGAAATTTGTTATTTAGGTCCTAAAGGGTTAGTCGTTGTAAGTACATTTCCACTGCGTTTAATCTCCACCGTTCATATAAGAAACGGTTGAAAGTACCAACCCAAGCAATCATGTTACGCTCGTTTATCGAATACACCGCTTGCCGGAAGTGCTGTTCGCGCCGTAAATTCGCTGAGCATCAGGAGAAAGTAATCGCCGGATTAGTTTTAGAATTGGGTGTACTTAATACAGCAGTCGCAGTAAGTTACACGGTGCCCCGAGCAATACAAGTTAAGAAGGATTTATTGGAGGTTATCACGAACTTCTGATATTATAGCACTAATTCTCATCATGAAGATCGGGCCGGCCACCTTCACTGAAACCACATAAAGCGGCTTGACCAGACGACCTGGAAACCTATTAGGGCGTCCCAATGTTTCGCCTTACAGGCTTACTTCATCGCCGCAATCGCATCAGGGGACACACCTTCACGGGATCCTGAGCTATTAGCCGGGATTTCTCTTTCCTCCAATTTAAATGATTTATTTCGCGGCAAGTCGTCCGTACCTCGGAGCAAATACCATTCACTACCTTTAACCCTCGGGCCACCGGGTCGATTTAGACCCAAATCTTCTAACAACTCCTTCGTGAAACAAAGAGTAAAATCAAATGTGACATTTGTCGATTATAAAAAAGGATTACATTTGTTTTCCTTTCTTTTTATTTATTACTATATATTATTTTATGTTACTTTTCGCTTTCTTTTATAGGTATATTTTAGTCTCCGATTTTAAATCTTTCTGTAGCTATAAATCATAGCAACAATGGACAGTAATCATCGTGAATTAATGAATAATAATAGTATTATTACAAAAAATAATGCAGTGGTATTGCCGAACCGTTGGTGTTTACAGCAAGGTTTATTAGAGAACAGTAATACAGCGTTTTGGATATGCTCGTTGCTGGTAGTATCCTGTTGTCATATTTCTTTCAATTGACGGAAAATTTGATTTGTCAATGAATAACATTGTTTCCCCGGGAATGTGACTACAGATTAATAATGCGATCGATAATTTATTGTATTATTACACTCGACTCGTGCGGTTCATTTTACATTATCGTGTGAAGTATATATGAATATCCAATAAATTTACTGTATTACAATGTCATGTTTATAATGATACTGTTCCCCGTTGGAAGCGATAAATGGGCGTTATAATGCACTCAATCTAATGGCGGTACTGTTGACTTTAATGTAATTTAACTTGGTCATTTATAAGTCATGATAGTTAATTTTCATTTTATTACTACGTTATAATGAGTAATACTTTTTATTAAATTATTACGATTCTTACAACTCAAATTATCTATTATTGATTTAGTCTTATTTTTTCACTAAATTTATTATTACTTTTTTTAAATTCATTAACAAATTTTATGAATGCAAATTTCAATAAATTTTATATTTTATAACAATTCTTATTATATAAAACGTTAAACAGGGAAACACGGAAGTTACTAAAAAAGAAAGAAGTTGAACAAGCAAACATTGTGATTGTTATTATGAAAATTGTAAACTTATAATTGCACAGCTTATTTTTCCAATTACATTCTTAAAAGTTTGCATTTGCATAAATACGTACAGTCCAATTATAATATAACTTGATGCATGAACGAAGAAAATAAACAGAAATGAATGTTTAGTTGGAGTTATCGACGTGTTATAACATCTCTGAAAATATCTGTCGCCTGTTTCAAGAACTGAATTGTTTAAATGCGAATTTATTGTACATATATCTTTATTCGTGTTTTCGGTGTCGTCGCAGTTTCACTCGGCCAATTACAGAACTGGATTACGTTTGCCTCATTAATCTAAACATCCAACCGAAACGGGGCAGTCACAATCGAGCCACACTAAATGAATATACGCGCCGTGCCGGTATATACCAATAGGATACGGTGCGGAGATATAAAGATTGATTTACGAGTCCCATATGTCTGTAAAAACACCGAAAAAGTTTTAATTGCTCTGGTGACGTATTAAACAATTCAGTTTGCGCGTACCATTTGACCTGGAACTTCAAACGTACCCAGAAATTTGTTTCAACTCCAAACACTGTCTTTTAATCCGTATTAACTGTGAAAAAGTAAAATTCTCGCACATGCATTTTATCAAAGTTAATGAAATCTTTAAACGTTCATACAACTTTATATAAATATTTTTCAGTAGATACGATTTATTTCGAATATTGAGCAGTGAAGCAATTTCTTGATAAAGCTTTTCTTTATTTATTCTTTTTTTTTATCATTCAAAGTACTGCAGGACTTTCTAACTATATATCACAAATAGGTTTTACTATTAGGTATTTATTATTAAAATTTTATATTAAATTATTCATTTTTACTATTTCAATGCACCAATATTATATTACTCTCATTTTACATTAAATTAATTAATAATTCAGTGTAATGCAAACATTCCTACTGCTTATATGATAAATAAAGTTCGATCATTTATATTTGCCACACGAAAAGCTAAGTTCGTTCGAATAATAATTAACCAATATACTAATAAATAAAATTACTTTGCTCTAAAAGTTTCCATGTCATTTTAAATATCACAAAATTTCTCGAATGAATATTTTGAGTCATACCATAAATTAATTGTGAAGCGTGAATTTTAGCTGACTCGGCTTTAAAACACGGAATAATTAAATGAGCCATTTAAAGACAGTGCAAGCACTGTGTATCGAGTCCTTTACGAAATGCGAGGACAAACGTATTTCCGGTCAAAAGAACTGGTCGGTCGAGGGTTTCCGTTAAAACCTAAGCAGCTCAGGAAAAGCTGCTTACGATCTTTGGAACGAAGAACGTGCTTACGCGAAGGGTTGCCTTATTTGGGCTCGTCCTAAATGACAGACTGCCAGTCGTGTCATCATTTCATTATCATAATTTACGTACCACCATAACCGGCTAATGGGGTTCACAAAGACACGAATGCCATGAAATAACAGCTAACACGATTTCTTCGTACAGTCAATGTAATATTCGTTGCTACGCGATCTTCCTTATTTTTACCGTATTCTGGCAACAAATTTTCCCCTAAAACATACTGTAGAGGCTAGAGCCAAAGGCAATAATCTGACTGCGAATTAAAATTGCATAAGAACTACCGTATTTAGAATAAAAATTTGTATACCAAGATCTTTCACAGCTATCTGATATTATTAAGTTATAGTGATTTCGTTTTATGATAAATAATATTTATCAAAGTTGTTATTTGTTGTTGAGATCAAAAAAAGTGTTACAACTATACCATACTAGGTAAAAGTAAATATAGGTACATTATTTTGAGATGTTATATTTCTATCCGATTGCAGATCATTTGGTTCCCCAATTTTACCAAATGTAGAAATCATAGAATTTGAAGAAATTATGTTGTCTATTAGCGTCAGTGTCTGCATAAGATGGAATCAACTGCAACGTTATTTTCAACCCTAACTAAATTACAAGTATTCTTAGCCATTTTCTTAAACCTACAATTAGAATACTAATTTATTTCCAAATCTCTCACAAAGAGATGGAAATCTCTAACAAAGTATGTCACAATGCTTGTCTCCGTCTCATTGACTAGAGTCATTATAACTCCATCAATCAAATTATCCAAATTAAATCGACCCAGCAGCCTAAAATTCAACATGTTGACACGAAATTTATCAAATATACAATTATTCACAAACGTATCCGTTCATCTATATTTATGATATATTTTACTAAATTAAATAACGTTTTTTTTTAATAAACAGAATAATATCAATCATATCTAGTAATTTCAACTTTAACATTTATTAAATATATAATATGTACATATAAAAAAGTAGTCAGATACTTATATGATTAATTGTTACATTAACCCCTGTATTACTAAGGACACTTTACACCCACCATATTACACTTTTTATATTTTGTTTTACTAATGAATTCAAATAAAATACTTTCTTTCGAAGTAATTTGAATGCTTCGTTTTACAGTGAACGCAAGTAGCATTTTAAATCATAACTGGGTAGTACAAGGGTTAATCACTATAAGTCCTAAACACTATTTTTTCTACATAACACCTGGACTTCATAGCCTACTATTTCTTTGTACCAAACGTAGTCTGATCCATCCATCTATCCAGTGAACATCTGCAATCTTCTATCAGATAAAACTTGAACCCTTAACTTCACCTTGACTTCATAGAGGTCATAGTGGTGAGAATAGTCCAAATTATCTATTAAACGATCGTCTGAAACCTTCGATCTGATAAAACTTGAACCCTAGCCCAAGTGTCTTTATCGGTAATAGATCTCCAGTTTCTCAAGGTCTCCGGCAACCCCTGGAAATCACCAGAGAACCAATTCTACTTACAACACCTTGACTTCATAGTCTACTATTCCTTTGTACCAAAAATAGTCCCATTTATCAATCGGGCAAGTGTTCGCAACCTATTACCGAAAGTCATAATTGATAGTGTCATTTTAGAAACATCAAATTATTATCAATATTCAAATTATTATCAAAAAATAACATAAAATAGTAATATACAGTATTAAATTCTGTACGTTAGGATCTAACTTCACTGTATTGTTCGCATTTGGAAATTCTGCATTCAAAGTATTTTATTCGAAAATTGTGGTTTTCGGATATAACTATATCTTATTAGACGATTTCATAAATGTCACTTTTATTGTGTTACTTCCGCAAAAATGGTCCTTATTTTACCAGCATGTGTCAATTTATTACGTACTACTGGTGGTTGTTACTGCCAATGATAAATCGCGGTGTAGCCAATAATCATTACGTACACGTATATTTTATGTTCGGGTATTGATTAATGGTATCACGATAAATTACAGTTTACCCGATGGTTCAGGTACCGAACCAGCTACTTAGCGCACCAACTGGAACCAACGTAACGCTGGTTTGCAACGTTGAAGCTTCCCCGAAGGCCATTAATTATTGGACACGCGAATCAGGTAAGATTTAATTAACTATCGCAACATCAGTTTATTTTTCGCCTGATTGAATAAGGAATTTAAACATTCGAAAATTCATTTCTCTTGACCTGTACATTCATATCATCGACGTATTGTAAGATAGAAGCAAACGTTTACGTGTTAGTGTGTTTAACTCAGAACTCGTTCGAATTCCTTGTGCATTTTCTTAACTTAAGAAACACTTAAATTATATTTTTAAATACACAAATGAGTATTTTAATATTTCTAAAAGGAACTTGGTATTGGTAGAAAGTCGTATTTAAAATTAAGTTAATTAAAATGCTTAAATTAAAACCGAAAAAGAGCAAGGTAAATATCATAACATGTTGTAAAAAAATAAATAAATGAATAGTAATTGTAGATCGTACATTTAAATGAAGAAAATGGCGAAATAAAGTGGAAATTAGCAGAAGCGCAGTAATATGCTAAACAGTATACGTATGTTTTCGCATAACGTATGTATTTCCTGTTTTTATTACAAAATGCCACAAATGCAACACTCTTATGTTCTATTTTGAATTAAAATGTCTGGGTTTTTGTTCAGACTTTAATATTTCAAATTACAGTTTCATGGTATAATCATAATAAACATTCATGTTACGACAATGTTTCGTAAATTATTAAGCATTTGATTACCTTACTTTATATTATGCACACGCACCGCGAATAAAAACATTCATTTATGTGAAAAAACTAATATAACGTCACATAAAATTGAAACTTACAGAAATACATTACATTCAAATTCAGTTCTCTCTAAATCGAGATATAAAATATTTTCTAAACCTTGTCCTTTCACTTTTATCCAATGATCGTATCAGGTGCGAGTGAATCATCAATACTTTCAATTTTTTAACAAACATGCCTGAACGTTAATATTAAAAAGACGTTTACTTTCTTTATAGAAAGATTCAATTCATTCAAATCAGTCATTATATAACATATATAATATAATATTTTACAAACCCGAATATGTTTTTTATGCATAAATTAACTGCATACAATCTAATTATAACAGTCCCTTTATATAAAAATAAGCTGATATGATAGTAATGTGTTCTCGTAATTTTTGTTACAGGTGAAATGATTATTAGCAACAACAAATACGCGATATCCGAAATGAAGATGTCGGTGTACAGTGTGCAGATGCAGTTAGTCATCATGAACTTACAGAAACAGGACCTCGGTGGCTACAAATGTAATTCGAAGAACTCGATCGGCGGTGCCGAGGGCAACATTCGACTTTATGGTGAGTTTTCTCGAATAATAGTCAGATAAAGCACGAATTGTGTCGTAAAATTCCGACAAAACACCGACGCGACGCTCCGTTCCGAAATAAAGAATTATTATTGATGGAAACTATATTTGAGATTAAAACGACTTGGTCGCATCAGCTTTATTATTATTTGCATCGTTGCATGTATATGACTGCATGAAGATAAGAAGGACACATTATTTTTGGACATATTTTTATTATTCCTAAATTGTGTATTTATTAAATATTTGATTAATACAAATACTGCAATAATATATAATAATAAAACATAAAAATTCATTTGAAACTATATTTAGATAATCAATAATATTTTCCACTTTAAATTTTATCATAACTAAAAACTTAAAAAATCTTTGTATAAAATAAATACAGTATTTTTCTGTTTATCTTTGTATTTTCTTAATATTTCCTTATCTGTACACCACACTTTTTTTTTAATGTAATTAAAACAATATTTCTTAAACAACATACATTAAATTCCTAGTAATTTATCCAAAAATTAAATACAATATTGTATATAATAATAAATGTATCACAGAATGAGTGTAATTTTTTAATAATATTATAGTATTTTTATTAAAAATGATACATGAGAAAACAAATTAAATATTTTCAGCAAATCAAGTATAGATGAATTGCATAATCCTATAAAATTCGCAGCATACTGAACGTACGCGGTAAAGTAGATCGAACGACATAGTTATTCCCAACATATAATGGTCGTTCACCTAATGACAATGGCAATTAGCATTGATTATTAATTTGAGCGTAATAGCCGCTGTATCGGACTGTAATTGCCCAAACAGCTTATTTTTCCAAAACTGATGATTATCAGTATGGTCTAGTTTAATTCTCCGTGCAAATTGAAGCTTGTTCCCCTATTAATTCACGAAAACGAAACCGTGATCCTATACGTAGGACCTTGTTCTCGAATAATAAATTCTTATTAATAATACCAGACTACCGTAAAATTCCCGAATCTTAACAAAAATATTTTAGTAGAAATTACACAGAAAAATGTTTATTTGAAATCACGTTGTATATTTTGAAAACAGTTTTCCGAGTTTCTTAATAATAAAAAATTAATAAGCAGATTTTATGAAAAAATGTAACAAAACTGATAAAAGCTATATAATTAAAAATCATTGATTATAAATTATAATAAACTATTTTTAAGCTATTTTTGATCGTGAACCACTTTATTGTATACTTTCACGAAATTTTAATTTTACATTATCAAATTCTTTCATATAAGCGAAACCATTACTATCATTAAGGTAACTTTATTTGCATACTAAAGTAGAGGGATAAAGATACTTCGTAATCGCATAATCTAATTTAAAAGGCAAACACATAGTACTCTCGTTGTACAGGATAAACCAACTGTGAGAATAATATGCAGTCTACTTTTAATTCCTTTGACTATATGTAAAAGAAAATGCATAAATACTTACTTAAATATTTTTACACGTTATATACGCTTACAGATTCATAAGAAATTATTAGTGAAATGAGTAAATATGAAAAATATCATATTTAATAAAGAAATTGAAATTCTTCTTTTACACAAATGCCTGTATTATTACTTTTATATATTGCACAAGATATTCATCCATATATGAACTTTGATAATAGAACTCGATATATAACATTCTAATAACATTGTCCATTTAGAACATTTCTGTCATTTTAAATTACAAAAATACATACATTGCGAAATTACGAAAATAATAAAGTTATTTTCGATGAACAAAATTATTAAAAGGCGTGTTTCAGTAAATTATATATTTGCATGTTGCACAAAGCATCGCATGTTTTACTTTAAATATTAAATATGATTTTCAGTGCGTGCCTCGTGAAAATTTTTAATGCTCTTAAACAAATGAGAAGACATATTTATATGTGCACACACTTTGGGTAATCTTTACTTACACAGCCGAATGTCGAAACACTTTCAAAAATGCATAAATTAAGTAGATTAAACCAAGTAATTAGTAAAAACATTTATTTCCAACTTTCGTAACGTAGTGGATCGATTAACTGCTTCCTTTTATTTTCACGAAGGAAAATTCGAGCAGAAACCAGCAGCGCGGTTCACTTTGAAATATTTGTAGCCGCGCACAATAATGTTTATTCGTTGAATTTAACGGTATAAATTTCGGAGTAAAAGTTCCGAGACAAACGTACACCGCATAACGTAGCTACAACTTTAAAATGATCGAATTTATTGCTGCCTCGCGTTTGTCGTGGCCACGCGCACGCGCGCACCCGTTTTATATTACAAACTTCATAATGCAAATCCTACGGGACAAAATTATGAAGCGAAATAGTGGCTTTAAGGTAATCGTACTTATTGTTCGCGCACTTTCGTTTACAGTGTGCGCCACTTTCAAATATCCGAACGGAATCCATTTGCAGAGCAAGTTTTCGAACAATGTACGATACTATCCATGTGTTAAATTAAGCTATTATCATCATTTCCTATTTCCAATTTTATTGCATTTTTATATTATCATTATAAAGTCTTAGCTGAACTAGGAACATTTAAATGAGAAATCCCTTGTCTCGTTTATTCTGTACTGGAAATTGTTTCTTTCAAGTGTTTTTCAATTAGTTTTTCTAAATTTTGAAACAATGAATGTTATTTCTATCGAAAAACAACAGGAATACTTTTACTTGTTACTGTTTCATATGCGAAGGAAAGGATCAATATTTTCTTTTCACTACCTGAAATATCTGTTTTTACTGTCAGTATGTTTACATTCTGTCTCTGTCATCTCTATCATTCATATCATCTTTCAATATCAATATATTCACCACCCGTTACACAAGGCAAAACCATCGTAGGGAAAAATCATTTATGGGAGACAAAATGTGGAACTTCACATTTTACAATGATCTCAGACAGAAAGTTGTATAACTTACTATTGCAAAATTACAAAGGTTCTAGGATCGGCAATTTTTCAGTTACATTGAAGTGGTCCTTTAATTCTGTGGAGTAGAAAGTTCTTCACTAGAAATATTAAACATTTTTCGATAAGATCTAGATGACATACTTTGAAACTCACTAATGAAAAAATGTACACAAATTAGGGTACAATGATATTGCATTTCAGTATTTCACGTACTGACGCATTATACAAAGCTCAATATAATATATAAGACTTTACGATCTTCCTACACTAAATCAAGTAGTAACTGAGAAATATATTATAATAAAATTTTACAATCTTGCCATATCAAATCAATTGGTGACTGAGAAATATATTATATACAAGACTTTACAATCTTGCTACATCAAATCAAATGATCACTTCTCCAGTACGAAGGTTAATCTTACGTCACAAGTATCGTAGTTCGAGTAAGCTTCTGAAACAGAAGCATCGTAGTAAGAACTGCTCGAAAAAGAGGAGAAAAAGTGAATCCAGTCGACTTTCCCCGGATGGTACGGCAGTACTAAGTGCCAATAGATTCCATGGAAGACGTAACAAGTGGGGTGAATCGAGCTTAAGTATTTACAAGGAAATCACCGTAACGCGGCAGTCCATTATCAGCGCGCGAACCCGTGCGGCCTGGGACGACTCGAGCCGCCACGCCGCGCTTAATGACGGAAATTTTATCGCGTAAGCCGTGTAAACTAACAGAGCCACCGCGTGTATTAGCGGAGCACGCGGGGATTGTGTGTGCGCCGAGGGGCTGTGTCCCGACGCGCGCGGCGTGCTCGAACTTCTCGTCGAAGTCACGCGATCAGATAAGCCCGGGGGATTAACCCTTAAACCGATGGTATAAACGGAGCGTGAAGGGAACGCTGAGAAGGGAAAAGAGCGCGGTACGGTCTAACGGGTGTGCTATTTGACCGGCGGTATTCGGAACAGGATTCGGGGACGTTGTTTGTTGACGAAGATAAATTGAACAGCGAGTTACGCATACTTGATGAGATTTTGTTTAGATATAACGTAAGTGTTTCGAGGGAGTTTGTAATGTTGGAAGCATCATTCAAATTATGAACACGTTGGTAACTGTGTGTATTGTATTGTTAGTTCTTGGTAATTATTAGATAAATGCAGATAGAAATGGTTATTGAAATTAATTGATTGCAAGACCTCTTGGTAATTATAATGATAGTATTATGTGCGGTACACGAAGTTAATAGTGAAAGTCACGGAAGCAGTTAAGTTACTTGTGATTCTTTCCTTCTGTTGAAAGTTTGAGTTTTTTATGCTTTCATTTTTCAATTGTGAAAATATAGGCTTGTATAAAGTAAATATAGGTGTTACTTTTTTTAATTGCAAATGATCACATCTCTCTTCTATTCTACAACTACTTCCAAACTTCCAAACCCCTTCCATCCATTTTCAACCCATATGCATCAATCCAATCCTCCATTCCTCAAGTATGTATACACCTACCATCTACGTTCAAACTTGCTAACCCTCTTTCTTCATTAACCACAAAAAACGAACGCTCACATTCGCTATCTCCTGGTCTCCATCAGTGTTACTAATTTCCCCGGACCGAAATCGGAAGAAATCGAACGTTCATGCGCGCCACGTAGAACACGCATCGGTGGTTAGGGTGCAAGGAAAGAAGAACGATGTCGGTGTAACACGTACAAGTGGACGGGGAAAGAAAGTGACGGCGGGATGCCGGGGTATGTCACGTCAAGGTCTGAAAGTCCGCGAAACAATATCCCAGCCGCCTGGCCATCCTAGCCCCGTGCCGCCGCTACATCTTTCTTCCCTTTTCCGTCGCCGCGGACCGGCAAGCTGGCTCTCGCCGCGCGCGCTTCTTCTGTTCCGTATTAGTTATCGTTTATCAGGCCAGCCAGACAAAACGCGCCGCCGGGAATTGGGTGAGCCATCTGTTGCCAGACATGATCGATAAAAGTCCGCCAAGTGCTATCAGTGCTAAACTGCTATTTCGACGAGCTGCCGCACGTTTCACCCCTTCCCAATCCCCACTCTTCCACCGCC